TTTTTTTTTTTTTTTTTTTTTTTTTTAATTTTTTTTTTTTTTCCCCTCTCGGGTTTCCTCCCCCCGAACCAGCGCAGACATTTAAGGGGATCGAGTGTCCTCCCATTTCCGCGCTCCGTCCCCTGCCATCTGGAGCCACTGAATGACCACTCTTGTGTCTGCAGCCCGCCTTGGAGCGCCGCAGAAAAAATAATCACAGCAGCCGCTGCTCCTGCATCTGGAGCCTCCAAAGCGCCTTCCCCCTCTCCCTTCCCTGCCAAAAGGAAAATTCGGGAAAACCCGGGGACCCGGGCAGGTGGCCCCGCAGATATTGGGCAGGTAGAGCCAAAAAAAAGGCAAAAAAACCCCCAAAATTCCAAGCCTGGAGATGCTGCTGAGGGTTTTTTTTGGGTTTAAGTTCAGCTGTGGCACCTTCACACCTGAGGCGGCTCCGCCCTCCCCAAAAATCAAATTAAATTTAAAATACGAGCTCGGAGCCCAAGTGCTGCTGAGATTTGGGGGTTTCTGAGGTTCACAGCGACAGCAAATTTTGCTTTTTTCCCTTTTTTTTTGTTTTTTTCCTTCTCTTTCTCCTTTTTTCTCACCCTCAGACCACATTTGGTGGACACATGTCCGTCTCTTTTTGTATTTTTTTGGGTTTTTTTTTTGTATTTTTTGGTATTTTTTGTATTTTTTTGGTATTTTTTGTGGTTTTTTCCCCCTTCTCGCACACTCTGGAGATCGTTTTTCCTCCCTGGGGCTGTTTTTCCTCTCCCGCTCCACGTGGCTCCCAAAATCTCTGGCAGCACCAGCAGAACTCGGGGCCGAGCCCGCTCTGCCCTGGAAATTCGGGAATTCTGGGCCTCCCCCAGGGGATAATAAAGATTTGGGGTGGGAGGCGGCCGGGGATGCTGTTCGAGGGGATTTTGGGCTCGGAAGTGATGATTTATCCCCAATTTTGGGAAGGTTTGGTGGTGCTGGGGTGGGATCAGTGGCGGCCTGCTCCTTCTTCGCTCTCCCGTCCTTTCTGGGCTTAAAAAATTGAATTTTCCTTTTCCCAAATCCGAGCTCTTTGGGCAGGAAAAGTCCCTTGGCTTTCGTGGGGGGTTGGGATGTGCCTGGACCCCAAAATCCTGCTGTTCCCAAAATTCCATGGGCCATCCATCCATCCATCCATCCATCCATCCATCCATCCATCCATCCATCCCCACTCCCAAAATTTCATTTTTTTGGGTATTCCCGCCCCAAACTTCCCTTCCAAACCCGCTCACCCCACAGGAGCCACAATTTGGGGTTTTTTTTTTAACCTTTCAAACGCGTCGCCGCAGATCATTTGGGGTTTGGAGGGTGGAAAAAGCAGATTTTGGGATTTGTCCACGGGGTTTGTGGCTGTGGGGTTTTCCCGTGGGGTTTTTAGATGGGGGATTTTCCAGTGGGATTTTAAACTATGGGATTTTTCAGGGGGGTTTTAAACTATGGGATTTTTCAGTGGGATTTTAAACTATGGGATTTTTTCAGTGGAGTTTTAAACTATGGGATTTTTAGTTATGGGATTTTTCAGTGGAGTTTCCCAAGGAGGATTTTGGCTCTGGGATTTTTCAGTGGAATTTTAGCAATGGGATTTGTCAGTAGAGTTTTAGTTATGGGATTTGTCAGTGGGAGTTTTTAGTTATGGGATTTTTCCGTGGAGTTTTTAGTTATGGGATTTTTCTGTGGAGTTTTAGTTATGGGATTTGTCAGTGGGAGTTTCCCAATGGGGTGTTTAGCTATGGGATATTTCTGTGGAGTTTTTTTTGCAATGGGATTTTTCAATAGGGTTTTCCAATTGAGTTTTTACCTGTTGGATTTTCAGTGGAGTTTTCCAATGGGGTTTTTTGGCTGTGGGATTTCTCAGTGGGGTTTTTTGCTATGGGATTTCTCAGTGGAGTTTTTGGCTGTGGGGTTTTTCAGTGGGGTTTTGGCTGTGGGATTTTTGAGTGGGGTTTTTAATTGTGGGATTTTTGAATGGGGTTTTTGGCTGTGGGATTTCTCAGTGGGGTTTTTACCCATGGGTTTTCCCAGTGGATTTTCACCCATGGGAATTCCCAGTGGATTTTCACCCATGGCAATTCCCAGTGGGGTTTTTACCTGTGGGGTTTTTACCCATGGCAATTCCCAGTGGAGTTTTTAATCTGTGGGATTTTGGAGTACGGTTTTTACCCATGAGATTTCCCAGTGGATTTTCACCCATGGGATTTCCCAGTGGATTTTCCCCCGTGGGAATTCCCAGTGGGGTTTTTACCTGTGGGGTTTTTATCCATGGCAATTCCCAGTGGAGTTTTTAATCTGTGGGATTTTGGAGTACGGTTTTTACCCATGAGATTTCCCAGTGGATTTTCACCCATGGGTTTTCCCAGTGGGTTTTTATCCATGGCAATTCCCAGTGGGGTTTTTATCTGTGGGATTTTTGAGTAGGGTTTTTACCCATGGGATTTCCCGGTGGATTTTCACCCATGGAATTCCCAGTGGGGTTTTTACCTGTGGGGTTTTTACCCATGGGATTTCCAGTGGGATTTTCACCCATGGCAATTCCCAGTGGGGTTTTTACCCGCGGGGTTTTTACCCATGGGATTTCCCAGTGGGGTTTTTACCCATGGGATTTCCCAGTGGGATTTTCACCCATGGGAATTCCCAGTGGGGTTTTTACCTGTGGGGTTTTTATCCATGGGATTTCCCTGTGGATTTTCACCCATGGGATTTCCCAGTGGAGTTTTTATCTGTGGGATTTTTGAGTAGGGTTTTTATCCATGGGATTTCCCAGTGGGATTTTCACCCATGGGAATTCCCAGTGGATTTTCACCCATGACAATTCCCAGTGGGTTTTTATCCATGGGAATTCCCAGTGGGGTTTTTATCCATGGGATTTCCCAGTGGATTTTCACCCATGGGAATTCCCAGTGGGGTTTTTACCCGCGGGGTTTTTATCCATGGGATTTTCCAGTGGAGTTTTTATGTGTGGGATTTTGGAGTAGGGTTTTTATCCATGGGATTTCCCGGTGGATTTTCACCCATGGGATTTCCCAGTGGATTTTCACCCATGGCAATTCCCAGTGGGGTTTTTACCTGTGTGGTTTTTACCCGTGGGATTTCCCAGTGGGGTTTTTAGCTGTGGGGTTTTTATCCATGGGATTTCCCGGTGGAGTTTCACCCATGGGATTTCCCAGTGGATTTTCACCCCTGGCAATTCCCAGTGGGGTTTTTACCTGTGTGGTTTTTACCCGTGGGATTTCCCAGTGGAGTTTTTAGCTGTGGGGTTTTTATCCATGGGATTTCCCGGTGGATTTTCACCCATGGAATTCCCAGTGGGGTTTTCACCCGCGGGGTTTTTACCCATGCCAATTCCCAGCGGGATTTCAGCCGTGGGTCGTGCCCCTGGCCGCGCTGGCAGCAGATCCCACCCCGCGCTGCCCCCTCGCCTGGGGCTGGAATTTCACCCCCATCCCAGCATCTCTGATTTCTACCTGCAGCACCTTTGGTTTTTTTTTTTTTTTTTTTTTTTTTTTTTTTTTTTTTTTGACATCATTGTGCTTCTGACCAAAAATCTCCCGAGTACCCCAGCCACAGGCTTTATGTTCGTTGTACCTGCTATAGGAAGTAGGTATAAGAAGCAACAAAGTATTTTAAAAATGTAATATTCTTGCGTAAACTTTTCTGCTACTTGATTGTTGGGGCCAAGTACAGCCTTGACAGTGAGGCTCTTTTGGAGTTATTGTTGTGTTAAAAACAGCCCCTTTTTTTTTTTTTTTTTTTTTTTTTTTTTTTTTTTTTTTTTCGTCAGCAATCCGCGTTTTTAGGGAATTATTTGGCGTTTTTATCTGGTTTTTTTTTGGTGTTTTTCTCCCTCTTCCTGTGAGGTGTCACCGC